AGTATATTTTTTAAAATTTTAAATTATTAATTATTATAATTTATAGTATTAAAAATTAAATAAATTTTTTATAAAACTTGTTGTCATCTTGAAAAATGAAAAATATTACAATTTACAAGTATAAAGAAAATAGAAATATACATATTAGAAAAGGAGAGAAAGGAACAATATTTCGAAAGATAAATATTTTGTCCATATAAATAGGACAAATTGGATTGAAAAATGGAATGTAACAATATTGTAGATATTTTTATTTCAAAACCGCTTTATGTGTAAAAAATTACTTACATGAAATAATTACTGATTAATATTACTACTATTATGTAAATATTCCTAAATACATGCTAATAATTTATCCAGATCATGTCTCACTACTCACTAATCACTTAATTCTTCATATCAATACAAACGCTTTAAGGATCCTGTCTTACTAGATCTTTTGATTCTTTCTATCATTACAAGTTTCGAACTATCGAAATACTAGAAATATGTATAGATATGTATAGTTTCACGCACAAATACTATGTCCAAATCAGGGATCATGTCTCGCTAGATCACTTAATTCCTCTTATCAATACAAGCGTTTCAAGGATCCCTTCTTACTAGATCTTTTGATTCTTGCTATCAGTACAAGCTTCGAACTATCGAAATACTAGAAATATTATATATATATATACATATATATACACACACACACACACATATATATATCCAGATCAAGGATCATGTCTCGCTAGATCACTGAATTCTTTCTATTAATACACGTGCTTTGAGGATCCCGTCGTACTAGATCTTTTGATTCTTTCTATCATTATATGCTTCAAACTATTAAATTATATATATATATAGAGAGAGAGAGAGAGATCAAGGATCATGTCTCGCTAGATCACTGAATTCTTCCTATCAATTCAAGCACTTTAACGATGTCGTCTTATTAGATCTTTTTATTCTTTCTATCACTACAAGCTTCGAACTATCGAAATACTTGTTGACACCTAATTTTGGCCTAAGATTTTCAAAAATTTGTAATTTTGGGCCACAATACTAAGTCCGTCATTTGAGCCCATTTTGTGTTTTTTTTTATTTAAGTTTTTAACAAGGTCAAAATATGGAGGGGGAATTAATTTTTAGAAAAAAGAAGGAACCCTTAAAAAAAATAAGCTATCCACTCTTCCTCTCCTTTCTTCCCAAGGCAGCCCCTTCTCCTCTCTCCTCCAAACACCCCCTAGCCGCCTCCCTCACAGCCCCTTCCTCTCTCCCCCCCTGTTCCTCCCCCTCTCTTCTTCTTCTCGTTGCCTTCCTCTTTTCCCTTTTTCTCTTTCTCCGGCGAGTGATAGCCAGCAGGCGAGACGGACAGCAGCAAGCCATCAACCGCCAACCCCTCTCCCTTCCTCCTCTCCCTCTTTCCGTCAGCCCCTCCCCCCGTTCCCTCTCCCTTTGCCCCTCTCACGTCGCCCCTTCCCCTCCCTTTTTCCTTTCCCTTTCCCACTTCTCGTTTCCCCCTCCCTTTCCCCCTTTCCCTTTTCCCCCTTCTCGTTTCTCCCCCCCATTCTCCTTCCCCTTTTCTCTTTTTTCTTCTTTTGCAAGGACAGCTCTGGCGACGCAGTGACACCACCAGCAGCCCTGCGCAGCAGCGATGCTGGCGAGAACCAGCAGCGACAGCTCTGCGAGGACCCGCAACAGCTTCCAACAACTCCGGACAGCAGCCACTAGCGACAACAGCTCTGGTAAAGATGAGCAGTGAAACCACTAGGCAGGAGGCTCCGGCGAACAACAACAACAGCTCCGGCGACGTAGTGACTCACCGACATATTCCGACGACGCTATAAATAACACACCACCGCCTCAATCCCAAAACTATCAGCGTGGCTCCAACTCCGGTGATCTCTTTCAGCGTTTTTTTCTTTCAGATCTGGTCGGGGAGTCAAACTCCGCCCACTGTTGCCTTCCAAGCCATATTTTATTTTTTCCTATGGTGAATGCTTGCTAATTTGATTCTTATTGCTTTCATTTTGATGTGCAACTGTTATTATCATATTCTTTTGTTTGGCTTTTCTTTTCTTAATATCTTACTACTGTTATTATTATATATCATTGATCATTGATTAAAAAAAATTGGTAATACATATTTTAGTTTTGATGGGTTGTTTATTTATATTGGTCAGAATTGATATCATTTTATTTTCACTTAGGGCTAGGTTTGCTTCATGAGTTATTGTTATTTTTATTATTTTGTTTTGGATAAAGTTTTAATGACTATTTTAGTTTTCAAATAATTGTGATTGCTTTTATTAATACATTGTTATTGTTAGTTGCTATTATATTTGGGATATATTATTCTTGTTCACTATTTCGGTTTGGTTGATTTCTTTTTAATTGCATTTCTTTACTTTATAAAAAAAATTATTAAGTTGGTGCTCCTTTTGTTATTTATTGTAAACGGATGTTATGGCTGCCACTTTTCTCATTTAGTATAGTATATTTAGGAAGTGGGTATGTCTTAGTGTTTCATTTTTCTTGAGGTTATTACTATAAGTATTATTTTGCTATGCTTAGATTGATCTGGTATTAACCATGATAATTTTATTTGAACAATAGTTTCACATTATATTATTTTATTGATCTCGTAGATTTTGAGTTGAAATGAGTTACAAGGGCCGATGAAAAATCAATCCGTCGGGTTTAGA